CTTCCCGATATCGGGCACCCTCTTCGAAATTCCGCGTCGACATCCGCTTGATTACACGCGTCCCTCTTCCGCTTCATTTCCGAAGAGGGACCACCGGCTGTCGCGGAAAATTTCTTCGCCCGCGCCACCTTTTCAGGATCTCGAGCCTTCCGGATCGAATCCTGAACGGTTTCCCTTAAACGATCCCTCTTCATGGAAACCGATTTCGCGGCGCGCGCGGATCGGAACTGAATTTCTCCGGAGAAATTCTCTGTCATTAAAGGATTCTTTGCTTCCCCCGCGGTTCCACGAATTATCGACAACATAAATAAAGCTCGAGACGCGATTTCTCAGCGGTTCTCTTCGAGGCTGGTAGCATTTTGTATGGACGAAATTGGAGAATTCCCCTTACAGGAATTAAATAATAAACCAACTTAATTTGATATATAATTTTTTCTCTTTGTGTACAATTTAAAATAATACGTAAGGCAAAATTGTATACTGTTGTATATATTTTTAAACGTGCATTCGAATTTATGGACTGACATACATTTGAAATTAATAGAATTTCTTTGATGTACTGTTCCCAGTCGATCACGCTATGTAAGATTTATCAGTAATAAAAGAAATTCTTTCCTAAATAAAAAGTAGACCGTTACATCTTTCCAAGCATAATTGAAGTTTTCAAATCACGGAGTTAATTTTGCGTGAATCGGTCGATGGAAGCTGGTTTCGCGATATAAACGGGAATTAATTTCTCCAGAGGAATTCACTGCCATTAAAGTTTTTTTGTTTTCGTGGTGGTCATTTGAATTATCGATAATTTCTATCTTTTCAGAGATTGGAAATCCACAGCGTACGATATAACCAATTTTAAAACTATTTTTTTGGTGTACGTATGAATACCAAATCCGATTCTATTAGAATAAATTATAGACGCATTCGAATGATACGAATAAATTTCGAAAATTAGAATAATTATGTATCGTTATTGATATTCGTTTGTTATTATTCCGATTGAACGTAACGTGGATTACCCCCCGAAGCATAGTTTAGTAATCAAAGCATTAACAGAAATCAATTTTTATTCGTAATATAAATTATTGCAGTGGATATTGGCAGTAGAATTTTCGGAGAATTTCGTAATAAATCGTCAGTATGATCAGTGCCTCCGTTATTTTCTCGATAATAAATCCTAGAATACTTGTGACTTTAAAGATAACCTTTGAAATTAAATGAGAATTTCGCAAGCAATCGATAACTAATTTCGTATCACCGAATACTCGTTCGAAATCCTGGGAAACAGCAACCCCGGGCACTGGTCTCCCGGTGTTGCACACTCGAAGGCGAATAAGGTCTTTGCTCGTGGTACAGAGTGTAATTACCGGGAACGACCGAGAATAACAATTAACACCGCAACGGGCGAGGGTAGCCTCCCCGTCAACCAAAGCGTTTCGGACAAGTACCACTAAACAGGACGAAGAATGAGTCTGCGATAGACGTTATATGCTTCAAGGTCGTTTGAATTTCCACACGTTTTACACGGGTATGATTTCCGAAAACATAATTAACGCGTGTATCCCGCACACTTCGAGGGGAAGAAAAGTAACACGATTAATGCTTAACCAAGGAACGTAATCAGGAAAGTAATACGGTTTGCGTTGATAGCTTAATCGAGAATGTAATAAAGAAAATTATTATTGCATTTTACTTGAAGGAATTTCAGTGTTATTTTTTGTATTTCGCTTTTTCGAAGTTCCGAGCGAAATATCAATGTTTTGACCATTTAATTTTCATCGAAGAATGGCACGAAGAATATTTAGGAGGGAGATGAAATTTTTGTACGGTTTAAGTAGTTAGCAAGTTCTAATCCGCGGTGTGTTCGCAATTAATGCAATTTCTCGGGACAAAACAGTATGGATTAAAGCAGAGAATGCGACTTAACGCCAAAGCTTTTCGGTTGCTTAGCGCATTGGTATTCGGACGGGGCGCTCGTCTAATGCCCTGCTTTTGTCTCAGAACGGTGAATGGGAAGGACAGACGATTTTCTTCAAGGAGAACGTAATGGACAGACCGGATCAGTCTTTTCGTGCTTTTTTATTCTCCATTCTAGCGGAAAGTCCTTCGGGAAAGAATTTCACTGCTGCGAAAGGATGGAACAAGATAGGATACGATTTATCCCGTCGTTTGAAAAATCTCGAACAACATTTCAAAAAATTACAACTATTTCCACGATTTTAGTACATTATTTTACAAATTGTACCTCATAAATTATTACAAAGTTTCAACCTGGCAAATTTGCGGGGGCCAATTACAATCATTTTTGGTGAATAGACATACCCCCAAAATCCTACGCAGTTTCGAGAAAAAAATTCGTGTAAATGTTGATATTTTTCGACAAAATTAAAAAATTTCAAATCGTTCTAAAAAAATTATTTTCAGTTACAAGGGTCTATTACAATCATTTTTGGTCATTAGACATAACCCCGAAATCCTACGGACTTTCGAGAAAAAAATTCCTTACCGAAAATATAATGTCTGACCATACCGTTGATATGTTTCCCTTAAATTTCAGGCGTATCTTTAAAACGTTATAACTTCTGAACGGATTGGACGATTTTAATTTTTGAAACGGCAAATAACGCGTATTTTAGTGTAGAATATGTAGAAATTATAAAAATATTGAAAAAGTTGTTTCTTAATAGCGTAGTAGTTAGAAAAATTGTAATTTATTTATCGTGTAATTCAAAGGCGAAGAAATGACCAGTCTCGTAGACTCCAAAGTTTTCAAATATTGACATTCTATAAAATTACACGTTTTCGCGGAAAACGGCGATAATGCGTTTCCGCGAGGCGTTTCATATTCTCGAAATAATTTTCCGCGTATTAAACTTTCTCGAATATTGAACGAGGCGAAGGGTCGAGCGCGTCGAGTATGTTTTTACTACTTTTCATGGAAACGCGAACGACGTTGGAAGGTTATTGTAACCATGTACGACTCCCACCTTCCCCGGTTGCTCCACAAACATAATTCATAGCAGATTCCTTTAACGTCGCAAAATAGCGTTTACGTTACCAACCTTTTTATGTCCGTTTATTAATTTTTGTTTTTAGTTCCTACACACCATACTCGATTAACGTTCGCTCGAACGAACAGTCGACGAAGAAATCCGCGTTTTCGATTCGAGAAAATTTGAAACAAAGCCCGTGGAGATTCCCCGATTCCTCGTCTAGTTTGAACAAAGCTTCAAACGCTTTCTGTCCTGGGTCTTTCGTTACAGTTAAATCCGAAGTGTCCACTTTTGCCTCGGATGAACATACTGTGATCTTGAGAGGACAGCCGGAGAACGATCTGCTCGTAGTTCGCCATAAAACAACCCCCAGGCTTTTATACAAGTTCGTTCGTTTCGAGATACACCACGCTTCTACCCTGCACCACTCGTCCGAGCTCTCCTCCTTCTTTCGTCCTCTTTTCTCCCATCACACGATAGCCAGTTACGTACTATACAACTCCTGTATTTATGAGGGATTCTTCGAAGGAGGAAACAGAGGAGAGTACACACCACCAATTTCCACCGAACCCGCCCCGCCAGCCTCGCCCTCCCATTTCCTTGTTCGCCGCAGGACCGTCCCAATTTTTCTGCCCCATAGGTTTTAACGAGGAGCTTTCGTGGGAAATGATCGTTCTTTATTGATAACCGTGGGTACTTCGAACAGCGTTTTTATTCTTCAGCCTCTTTGGCGCGAGCCGCGCTTTTTGCTCGACGTTTTCGTTATACCGTGAACGAGTGTGTTGTTCCCGGCGCGCAGAAAAAGTTAATGAAGTTTTTTGCAGTCTGTAGTTACGCCACTGAGTCACTCGTTATTTTTCGTTTAAAAAGAAGCTATCGGCGCATTGGTGTCGCGAAATTTCATATATTCGGATCGATATGCACACTCGTAACGGTACAAAAAGTTTGCGAAAAATGAACAAGGATTTTTATATTATAGGATGTTAATATATACTTTTGTACCGTCTTTTGTCGAAATATATCTACGTTCACTTTGTCATTTAATTTACCATTCTAGATGGTCTAATTAACATTCAATAATTTTCAAGCAAACAGAATTAATTATACTGCAGAATTATTGAGAATTTATTAGCTCTCATCAAACTAAATAATATTGCCTTGAATCGTCATTTTGCTTTCCTATAAATACGTTTAAAGATATAATAAAAGGGGTCACGATAAAAGAAAAAGATTCAGTTAAGAATATGAAAAGAAATATCTTTATTAGTTTCTGATAATTTGTGAAGTTGAATTACACGGGTAGACACCGACGAATTTATTAACGGTCCAATAAATCGATAAGAAACAAACGGACACTCCTCTCATTACATTTCACATATTTGCATCTCCTGAAAGTTAATTTCTCCGCGAGCGTTATTTAAACGTTCTCTTTCCGATAAATAAACCTCATGTTTAATCAATTCCGATCATTAACCCACAAGCGTAGGTTTATAGACTTAATAAGCGGGTAAAAGTATATTACAAAAGCGATTTAAATTAAAACAAACTGTGCACGATCGTAGATAGAGCACCGCCGGGGGTCGGAGAAGGTATAATTAATGATTCCCGAGAGAAAATTAATAAATTCTCTCGATCGTTGGCCTGCATACGCGGCTCGATCGAAAGGAGTACGTTCGGAACGTTGAATATTCATCGATTAAAGAAATGAGGGTATTATAAACGCTTAGAAAACATTATCATTAACGCGCGTTCGCGTAATTAAGGATTGAAGGCTAAAAGTCGTCGATTGCTAACGATTCCCGGCAGAAATTGAAACGCCGGGTCCCTTTTTCGCGCGAATCGATAAAATTTCCAAGCGATTAAGACTCGCCACGGGTCCACCCCTCTTTAATTAAATAGAACGCGGCGTGCCGGTTGAATTATCGCCGAAGGAAAATGAGAAAAGATAGAGAATCGCGATACACCTGCTGTTCGGCTGCTACAATCGCAATGTGTTTCATTATTTTCCAGGTGCCGCAGCCGCATCCCGCGTCTACGTGGACGCATTGTCTCGATTAGCACGCCAGGCACAACTGGGGACATGGGGTGGTTCCAAGGATGTCGGTAAGTTTCGCAATTTTCTTATTATCGCTCGCGCGGAACTTCCTCCCGTTGTTTCTCGTTGTCCCGCGGGATATAAAAACCCGGAAACTCTCGTTTAGAGGGAACACCGCCACGGAGGTTTTAGAGAATCGATTTTCTTGCATCTTAATATGCGCATCGTACACTGTACCCGCGTGCAACCTCGATTCCCCCACGTTTTCGTAAAATATATTTAAAACGGGGTAAACAAATTATTTGGCACGGTATTTTATCCGATAAAACATTCGTGCAATCATTTCTCGAACGATGATGCTTGAAAACATGAATTACCATTTGTATTATTTTTTCAAAAAAAACCTACAGTTTGTCCTACATTTTAGAATCGTTCTGTTAATGGATGAAACCAGTATTTTTGGGAATTTATCCTTTTCAAAATTTCTTACGCGGTATTATTTCACATATTAATATCCTTTAAATAAACAAAAGACTTTTACTGTACGCCGGAATGCACGGTCGAGCTTGAAATAAAAAATTTAAAGCATTTTCATTAATATGAGTGTAACAATGGATTTGGTGCAAAAAAGCAGTCACTCGCTTTTATGAATTTATCTCTGATACGATTTTGCGAAACAAACAATCGTTACGCGAAACGATAGACATTTTCGTTGTTAAATATTGGTTAAAATTTCAAATTAATCGGATAGCTTTCGAAACATCCATCGAACGAGTGCTATGGTTTTGTGAAAAACCCTTTTAAAATTTCACCGGCAATCCGACGCGCTCCGCAAAAACGTTTGTATCGTCTCGTCGATTTTAGTCCGATACGAATAAAATATTAGAATATTTTCGAAACTGCTGCAGGTTTTCTCTGCCCGCGATCGCGTCCCATCGCGATAATTACGGTGAATTAATTAAAATTTGTCACGTAATTATCGGCGAACGGAACGGGAACCGGTCGATTCTTAAACGGCCGACCGCGTCACGCGGGGTTAATTAATTAGCGTTCCGCGCATCATTAGACGCGCGAATAAATCGTCGCGTCGCGGCGAGACCGTCGCCGGAAAATTTTGTTTGTCCCGATCGACGTTTCTGTTCGACGATCCGCGGCGAATTTAGAATCGGGAGTTTTTCAGTTTTGTCCCGCGGCCCGATTTTTGTCTTCGTTCTCGGCGCGTCCCTTAATTACCAGATCGCCCGCGTCGCGTGGTGATCATTTCAATCGGGCGCGATCGTGACATTCGTTGTAAATTAACGAAGAACCCGGGCGCAATTAAAATCGACCGCTCGCGATTTAAATATCGCGAGTTTTTAATTGCTCTCGGTAATTTTAACGATTGACAACGGAAGATAGTTCCGCAGATAATGGGAACGTCGGGGCTAATCTTCGTAAGAATGTTTTACTATAAAGAATCTTGAAATGGCTCGAGTTCGAATAACCGTGACCCCAATTTTTTTTTTTAAATTTCCATTTAAAAAATATAGAATGTCTCCCGTGGTTATACTATTTGAAAATCCTCTGAAATAACGAGCTCGACGCGATTCGACCAAATCCAACCGACTCTTTCGGGGTCTTCGTCAAACGGTCTGCTTTATGGCCAAGCGACCTGTCCGCTTTCAAGCAAATATCGTGTCTGCGGGAGCGCACTCGTCTTCCTTCGACCCGGGAAATAAATTAGCGTCCGTCGGGCTAATTTTCGAGGGGTCGTCTCGCGCTTTTTTTTTTATCATTCTGCTTTGGGCAAAGTTTGACCCGTCGACGCGAGGATACCGCGAACGGGAGAGCACTCTCGTGGCTTCCAAAGCCAATAAAGGTTCGCTCGTTTTTATCGTCTCTCTTTTTCCGTCTATCTTACGGTCGCAACGGCGGGTGGGGCAGGAGGGGGAGGGGGAACGGAAAGGGGTAGAAAAAAGTTGCTAACAGGATCATTGCAGCGTGATAAGTGTACGTATTAAGTTCGGGTCGGCGGCCTCCGTGGCCGAGCTCGCAAGTTTCGAGACAAGAAAGGAACACTGGGCGAAAAGGAGTCTTAGGAAGCCCCGGCCAAGTGCGACGGAAGTTTTATTTGTTTCTCAAGCGGAAAGAGAAAATCCCCGGGTTCGATACGAAACGAATCGCGGGGGTATTTCGGTCGGTATTTTCCTCGCGAGGATCCCGTGCGCTTTGTGCCGGCTGAATGTTTAGCGCGGGAGTTTTCTCGCTGCTCGCTGTGCCTCTGCTCTCCTTTGACCGCGAGACGCCGTTGCAGGATGAGAAACGTCGAGTTCGATTCTAATTTAATAAATAATTTTGCTTCCGACACATGGTTGGGACTGGTTTCAGATAATTCATCCATCTGGAACAATGTTCACCATCAGATTCCTGCACAGAATACACGACTTTATGTTTATACTTACAACTTTTATGTACATAAAGTTATTTTGATTTTTCTTCTTTTTTGTTAAAGAATATAGAATAATGAATGAAAAGAAACAAAAAGTTTCAGTTTACCTCTATTTACTACTTCACAATTTGCGTTTGAATAGAGGTCTATTTTTGGGCTGTCAAAGGTGTCTAACCCCCTTAATGCGTTGGAAGGTTTCGAGCAAATAGCAGAGTACTCGTTGGAATTTTCTGTGAATCTTTTGAAAAACTCCTCGTAAATCGAACGGATCTTCAAAGATTCGAGGAGGAGGATTCTCGTGGACACGGTCCTCGAAAGCATTGTTCGATTTTGCTCGTTGTCGAGAGCGAAGCCTCTCTAACCAGTACGACAAATCTGTCTATGGCTGCAACTTCGCTAGATATTTCAATTTTGATACACTCGTTTCACTCGATACTATGAATTTTTAAATAAATTCACTTCTCCGAATCGAATTACGAATATCTGTAATTTTTGTTGATATTCAGAACGTCTTAAACTAGCAAAGAGTACTGTTATTACTAGACTGCGGATCTTTATGCAAATCTTCCAGCGATGTAACCACGATTGCGTGGATAGGAGGCAGTAATTAAAGGGAAAGATTTGCACGAGGATATTTTGAAAGATAATACAAAACGAGTTCCGGGGCATGCCTACACCGCATCATCCCCCATTTGGATCGTGGCCGAAGTTAACTGCAATCGATGGTTGGGTAGAATGTCCGAGACTTGGATATAGCCCTTGTTAACTGCATACGAGACGCCCTGGGGCACCTTCCAATTTAAACTCTGCCCTGTAAGCTCGAAATAGGGTTACCGTATTATTATTTGTCGTCCCGAACCAGTCTCGGGTAAGAATAAAGCGGATAAATTATTGTTCCGGGCAACCTCGTTGCTATTTCACAGCGAGCGACGTGTAATTAGTTTATTTCTTCGTCCTCCTTTCTAACTGCAGTTAGCTAAATTCAAATTTTTCCATCGTCGATTAATCTTAATTTGTGGTGGTTAATAACCGACCGTAATGAAACTGTAGTTAACGAAGTAGTGCGTGAAATTACATTTTACCTTTCGTATATATTTCTCTTGGTCAAATCGAGTAAACGTTGAAGCAGATCCTTTCGAAACAATATATAGACTGTAGAGGAATTTATCAAAATATTACGTAGGTATTTATTAAAATTCGATGTATACATTTTGTTAATTTTTATTAAAAAAAAATCATAATTCAATGGTTATTGGACGTAGTAGCGAGGTTTTGTTATTTATTAAGTGAGATACACTTATAACAAGCGATAGCGAAGGAAATTCCTGGAAAATTGACTCTCATCAGGAAAGTGTTACACTTGGAAGACACTTGGGGGCTTCTTACAACAATCGATGGGTAGCGGACTGGAATATCTTATTACCTCTATTCGGCCGTTTGGCAGTTTTCCAGTGTACGCCAATTTGCACTCGTTAAAGAGACGCCTCTGAAACTTTTCGTGCAGACGGTGTTGACTAAACGTTCACCCCTTTGCAGAACTCAATTTTCATTACGGGCACGTAGTTCTATATCAGAATTTAGCATATCCAATCTTATTATTTTATTTAGGGCACGAGCATTCGTGTCATTTTTCTTCTTAATTCCCTTAACAGCCTTTCCTTTAATTTTTTAGATGCTAGGGGACAGTAAATGAGACGAACGAACCTCTTTCTAATAATTCATGTAAAATAGAAAAATTTGATAATCTTAATGTTCAGAATTTCAACGATTATTCACAGAAATACAGAAATAAAATTACAAAATTGATTACAAAGAAGTAAAATGTTTGCTAACTAAATGGAGATCGCTTTGAATATTTGCCGTCGAGATACGTAACAATTTAAAGCAATCGTATTTTGGAAACAAAAGGTTTGCAAACCGATGTTTATCGGAGCGTTTTGCCCAACTTTAAGACGCGCAATATCAACAGCAAAACTTTATGAAAACACTTTTGTATCGCAGCCCCGAGTACGGCATTGTTATCATTTCGTATTGTTGACCGATTCGCCGTGAAAACGATAAAATGTTTCGACGATACTTAACCGATACCAGTCTCCACCCTTCAATTATCGCGCGGTAACTTTTCCCGATTGCTTCGTTGTTGCGCTTTTCCAATTTGTACGCAACTGTTTTTTGTTTTCCATTGTTCGGGGCAGCCCTTCGAAACCTGACAGTTTCCCGGCGGCTACCAGGTGTATTCGTGTCGATCGGGTAATACAAACTTTCGAAATGTTGTAACACGCTTAACGGGTTACGAATCGATTAATAACAACAAACGTTATCTATCGTCTCTGTGGATTCTCTGCCATACTCGATCTCCGCGCGATATATTTTTGAAACACGGCCTTTTCTGGTTGGGGAAATATGTACTATAACTGGACCAACAAATTTGCCAGTTGGTCGCGATATTAATGTTTAATTAATTCCATTTATTTGTTATTTGGTCCCTGCTCGAGTAACGATATTAATATGTGAAATTAGTGCAGAAACGTGATGAACATTTTCAATCTGACTGACGAGATACTTTGTGGCCTTCAGAATTACTATTTCAACTATCTTTTATTGACTCAATTTTTCCAAAATATCTTCAAAAAATTTAAA